CTAGGGCCTGGCGCCGCCGGCGAGTCTGGGCCCCGGCAGGCAGGTCCGGGAGGGAGCAGCGGGGCGTCCTCATGAGAGCGAGCGTGGCCTCGTCTGCAGGGGTGCAGGGTCAGGGGTGGCTGCAGCCCTCCCACCACCTCCCAGGAGCCTCTGGCCACCTCGAAGCTCAGTCCTGGTCCCCCTCCAGGCAGGGTCTGCCGGGATGAGGCCTCAAGCACACCAGGCCTGCCCCAGGAGAGGTCTGTCCGTGGGCTGGGGCGAGGGCTTCCAGGCTGACCCCGATGTCTCCCGCCCCCAGCACTGACCCAGGATGCCGGTGGCCTCCAGACCCCCGAACTGCTGCATGGTGGCAATGGCTTTGGACAGCCCCTCCTGTGTCTGCAGCTGCCCTGTGGCCGGGTCTGCGGGGGGCAGGTACCCAAACCTGCTCAGCCACTCCTGCGGAGAGAGGGGGCGGTCAGCGGTCAGCGGTGAACCCTGCGGGGCTCCTCCAGCCCCGGGCCCACAGGCACTCCCCCCTCCCCGAGTGGTTCTGCTGCAACGGCTGCTGTAGTCATGGGCCCTGGTGAGCGCGTGTGCAGCACGTGAGCTGTACAGCTGCTCAGTTCCCAGCCTCGCTCTTAGGCAGCAGAACCCCCGGGACAGTCAGAAGTGGGACTCAGGGCTGACTCTGTGGCTTGGTTAGGGCACTGCTCCCACAAGCTGACCACAGTTCGAATCCCGGCCCGGGTGGCTTTAAGAGCATGCCGGGTGTGGGTGTGTGTTCATGCCCCAAGTCACAGGATGGAGAGCGGAGAAGGGGCTGGGCGTGACCGTGCCCACGGGGTATCCTCTCTACCGGCCAGTCCCCAGAGCGGGGTTCGAGGCTGACGGCCGCCTCCCGGGAGGGCCCTGCCAGGTGCCAGATCTAAGACCTAATAGCTGCACAGCCTGCATCAGGGCAGACCCCTGGTGTCACCAGTGGCACGGAGCCTGGCCCTCCCCGCGCACTCGCGTCCGGGAGAGCGGGGAGGAGAGGCTGCTCCTGGAGGGGGGTGGGCCGAGGCAGCCGGGCGGAGGCAGAGGCAGGAGCAGCTCCCGACCGTGTCAGGAAAGCCGCAGGGAAGTGTCTGTCCTCGCGGCAAGGCCCTGGCACGCGTGGCCGGTGCTCACACCCGATGGCCCCACCCTCACATTTCCCCCCGCAGAGGCACAGAGTGGACATCCAGGCTGACTGCTGGGGAGGGGCTGCCCGCCCAGACACCCCGACTCTGGAGGCAGACGCAGCCCAGGCCAGGGCTCACGGGGTGACTGCTGAGCTGGCAGCTTCAACACTCGGACCAGTCGGAGCAGGTCACGGGCCGGCGAGCTGGGTGTCAGCCCTGGGACACCAGGCAGCCAGGCTGCCCGGCCAAGAGAAGCCGTCCCGAGACCGGGGTCTTCGCAAGAGGCGAAAGCTGCAAAGGACCCGGTCCCAGCCCATGCGGCTCCTGCCCTCCCCTCACGGCAAGGTGCCCTCCCATGGTATCCCGTGGTGGGGTAGATGCCGCCCCTGCAGGCTGCGTTTGGGCTGGGGCACTGGGTCCAGGCCACCCGCTTCCTGCCTGCGCCCACCTGCAGCCCGGTCCTCCCTCACTGTCGCCACGGAGACCGCTGTCTCCAGGGCAACAGAGGCTGCAAGCAGGCAGCTCTGCAGCAGGGGAGGGGTGAACCTTCCAGAAGGCTGCTGGGGAGGGGGCGGGACTGCCAGGAGGAGGGCGTGGTGAGAGCTGGGCCATTTACTGCAGGCGTGGACACTGAGGCCAGAGGCAGGCCCGGGCCACAGGGCCACGCCAGCCACCCAGTCACGGGGCTCGTGCATTGCTGTTACAGTGTTGGGAGGCCCCAGGACCCGCACAACCGCGGCCATCCCCTGTGTGTACTGCCTCAGCGTCTCGCCCATCTCTGGCCCTCACGGCACCCTGGCGACACACCGGCCCCCGGCCTGGGCGGGCCTGGGGTGCTGCGCGGCTGGGCTGATGGCTCACCCACCTGGCGCTGAGCTCTGTGGGTGCAGGCCGGGCCACAGCATGCAATGATGCAGCGGGGTCCGACCGCAAAGGGCGGTGCCAGGCTGTGGCTTCAGCCTGGGCAGAGTCCCACGCCCACCCTCTGGGGACTTACTCGTGGGCAGCGGAGGGTCATGGCGTGGAGAGCTCAGGTCCCAGCGTCTGCCCGGGGGGCGCTCTCCCTCTGGCAGCCTGTCCATGCCACACGCCCTTCCTGAGGGGACATGGTGGAGACCAGGGTAGGCTGCGTCCCAGTGAGGGGACGGTATTGTGGGAAGGCAAACTGCCTTGGGGGGCCACTGCTGTGCCTGGTCACCGTCACTGCCTGAGCCTGATAGCTTGGAATCCTCACAGACCCCTCAGGTGACCACACACTGGCATGCTGTGGATCCGGGCGTGAGTCTGGGCTGGGCGTGGGCGCGCTCGGCCTAAGCAGGACGGAATTAACCTGCAGAGCAGCCACCACGGCGGGACTGGAAGGAGCTCACGGGAAACGGAAGGAGAGCACACGCCTGAGGCCAGCAGGTGGTGTGGAGTTTACAGTGCTGGGCCCTGCACAGCCGACTCTGCGCCGTGAGCTCCGGACCCGGCAGTTTGAACATCACACGGGGCACACGTGTGCCCAAAATCCCACGAGGAGAATGGAGAAAGGACTGTGGTGGCCATCCCCCCAGGGGGTAATTTCTCACTCCTCCCATCTCTGTCCACACGCCTGAGGCCAGCAGGTGGTGTGGAGTTTACAGTGCTGGGCCCTGCACAGCCGACTCTGCGCCGTGAGCTCCGGACCCGGCAGTTTGAACATCACACGGGGCACACGTGTGCCCAAAATCCCACGAGGAGAATGGAGAAAGGACTGTGGTGGCCATCCCCCCAGGGGGTAATTTCTCACTCCTCCCATCTCTGTCTCGGTCTCTCTCTGGTGAGCACATATACCCTATAGCCACAAAAAAAAAAA